TGTAGGTTTAAGCTTACTAATTCTCAGTAAATATTTATCCATCTTGTAACTGTCCTTGATGCTAATCCTGTAATAGGTACAATAGTCTCATGTTTTGCTTTGGCTAACTAAAAGTAGCCTATTTTGAATGCTTGATTAACTTGTATTTGCGATTCTGCAAATATCGTGTTATTGAAGATAGACATGGTCTTTCAGCATTCCTTCCGGTTGGTGCATACAAATAGATTCGTTCTATCCTCAAATTGTGTTTCATTCTGACAATTTGGACACTTAACTTGTCTTGGTAATATTTTCTTATCTTGTAAGTACACAATCGTATTTTGTTCACTTTTTAGATACTCATACAATTCATTGTATAGTGGTATCCCATGAGCCATCTTTCTCCTTTTGGGTTGGTAATTTCTTGTAAAAGTATATGGTTTTGTTTTGTTTTTCTACTAGTTCTTGGTCATTTCAGTTTTTTCATAAATTTTACTTATAAAATAGCATGCTTTTGTGGTCCTTATATATCTAATTTCTTGTCTATCAAGCTATCAATTCTTTAGTGGATTTTTTACTGGTCTGTCACATATGTCGGTTAGAGTAGTTAGATTCCTAACTACTCAGTCTGACATACATATTAGTCGAGTTATTTTTTTTGGTTTAATTATTATGTTTTACCATTTTTTCCTAATAACCTATTCGTTTTTTGTTGGTTTTCCTGTTGCACATGATATATAGTCTGCTATCTTATTCTTTGATTCAGGTATTTGTTTCAGGGTGTAATTAATATCTTGTAACTCTAAAAGCCATCTTGTTATTGTTGCATTTTTACAACCTTTTACTATTGTTGTTAGTCCAGCATTATCTGTTCGTACAATTACATTTCTATTATCTATGTATGGTTTTCATGATTTTAGTGACTCATAAATTGCATATATTTCTTTTTGTATATTTACCAATTTTGCTGGGTTGCAGTTAATGTTTTAGAGAAGAATTCTATAACTTCTTCTTTACTTTGTATCTAATGATCTGTATAACCATTCTTTTTGTTCTTTCTGAATCATCTTGTAATATTTAAGTTCTGGGTTAACCTGCTTCAGTACTGCTCTAATACTATTATCAGATGCGTCCATTTCTACAATCAATTGGTATTCTGGTTTAGGATATGTTAATCAATATACTTCTAGTATTTTTTTTTTAATAAGATCAAATGCATTCTGGCACTCTTTTGTCTATTTAAACATTATTGTTTTCTTTAGCAGATTGTTGATTGATTCTGCTATAGTTGAAAAGTTTTCTACAAATCTTCTAAAGTAGTTAGTCATACCATTAAATGATCTTACTTTTTAACAATCGTTGGTGGTTGCAGTTTTTCTACTTCTTTTAGCTTTTTGTCATTCGGGTGAATCTTGTCTTGTTCAACTTGATGGTTCAAAATAGTAGTCTTTGTTACTCCAAATTCACATTTTTTAGGATTCATTATTGTGCCTCTTCTTTTATATGCTTGAACACCGCTTCAAGTCTTTCTACCATTTCTGGTACTATATTTGCTAAAATTGTACAATTATCCATATATACTGCTATATATGATATATCTTTAAATAATTCAAACATGTATCTTATCATGTATACTAGGACTGTTTTTAATTCTATAAGTATTATTGTAAATCTGTATTTTCCTATATCTGGAAAAAACATATTGTTTTGTTTCGTTCCTGTTCTTCTACTAGAAATTAGTAATATGCAGCCTTAAAATCTATAGTACTATAGATTTATAGGCTACTACCTTATGCAAAAAGGTGGGTATATAGAGTATTTCGAAGCTATCATCTTCGAGATGCTTATTAAGTTCTCTATAATCTATTATATATCTTTTTGATCGATCTGGTTTTGGTATTATCATTATGGTTGATACTCATGCTGCTGTAGAAGGTTCAAAGTATCCGTTATCATTTAGTTCTTTGAACATCTTATTTGATTATTCTTTTTCATCTTTAGACATTGGTTTAGGTATTCTTTGTTGATCTTTCTTAAGTATCCCTTCTAAGATAGACTTTTCTTTTAGTTTGAGTTATATAGACATATTAAATCATTTAGAATTAATTGTTCTAAGATAGTTACTTAAAATGGTATTGTAGTGAGATTATGTATATAGAAATATATTTATAATGGATGTAGATCATCTAGTTGTAAAAATAGTCCATACAATAATAAAAAGTACTTGACCGAAGAGATCATCTTAATACCAAAAAAAAAAAAAAAAAAAAACATTTAGAATTGAAAGTTGTAGCTTTTTCTTCTTTTAATCGAAAAACATCCTTATAATATCTTCTAAATATTGGTTCCAAGAGATTCCTATATTCTGGGTTTATCTTTTTGAGTAAAAGCTTTAGTCTTTTTTTGGGGTTCATTTTATCATCATCGTCGTCTTCTGAATCTATTACTTTTGCAAATCTATATATTTCTTTTATTATTTCTAGGTTAGCTATGTGGTATCCTTCAGGTATCTTGTAGCTTTCATACGTCGAGTTAAACAATTGTATTGTTTTTACAGTTTTATCTACATATTCATTCTAGATTATGATTCCATTTTGAGCTACATGTAGCAGTGTAACTATATGTTCTTCATTTGGTATTACAGGTATAGCTATAAAAGTGTAAGGTCACAACCTTATTTCTTTTGCAGCATATATTGGTACTCCTGTTCTCATAGTTGGTAGTATTCACCTTCTAATTTCGTTAGGTATGTGACCTAATTCTTCATGTAATTTTAAGTCACATATTTTCTTTCTTTTGGGTTTCTAGTATAAATGTTCTAGGTTCATTATTTCTTCATTATATCTATACTGGTTATTTCTTGGTTTCATTGATAGAGTAGCTTCTGAATTAGATGTAGATTGCTCTATACTCTTTGTGGAACTAGAGCTACTTGAGTTATCTGTTCTAGGATCATATGCTGATCCTATAGATAGTAGTGATACTGGTGGTAGTTGAGTTATTGTAGTTGCTTCGTTTTGTATACTCACATACATTGGTATGTGTATTCTTTTGTTTTCCATAGAGGTTACTCTATCCTAATAGAAGCTTGTATTACTTTGTTGCTCTTGGTTAGTTGTTCATTTCACTGCATTGTCTTTTATTACTCGTTTTGCTAGTGGCTCTTCTTCTTATCAGGGTGCCTCTCTATCTAGATACATATAAGTTAAACCATTCTTTTCGTGCTTGTACTGTAGGTAGTTCTGGTATTTTTAATGCTTCTATGTTGTGCATTGTTACTCCTTGTCCTTGGACACTTGGTTCTTCAGTAATTGGAAAAGTTCACGTAAGATCTTTAAGATCCCTATTTTCTAAATTTTGCTTTGTAAATTTGTCATGTTGATCTTGGAACTTTGCATCTTCTATAGCAGAGTCATCATTCCATGAGGAGCTTGCTTCACTTACACTACTTGTTGTTGCTTTGTATGTTTTTCGTTCAATTTGTTTTCTTTTTGTTTTATCTTCCTGTTTTTTCTGCCTTGCTACTATATCTAACCTTTTCTGATTAGTTAATATTTCTATTTCTGCATTCTGTCACCATTTTTCATAAGCTATATTCTTGTCTCATTATCCAAGGTAGTATTAGCTATTGCTGTTAACTTGGCTTGTGTTGCTCTTCTTTGAGCTTCTGTTAAATTAATATATTGTTCGGTCTAGTATTGAGAACATCTTCTAAGTTCTTGATATGTCTTGTTTCTCTTTTATCTAAATCTTGGGTATATGTTCTTTGAGTTTCTTCATTTTGTTTATCATACCATTGAGTTATTTTGAATAACTTTTCTTGGTATGTTTCATGTGATTTTCTTTCTTTTAATCCTTGTGATAATGCTTCTATATCTTTATATTGTCAAGATGCATTTTTGCTTCTTGATCACTCATTCCTTTAAACTTCTGGAAGTTAGAATCCATAGTTGCTATGTGATCTATGAGGTCCATTAGTATTTTAGCTATATCCTCGTTTTTTTCCTATTCTTGCAACTTTTCTAATTTCTTAATATTAGAACTAAGTTGACTTACTTATCCTCCAAATATTTTTGGTATTGGTGAAGGGTTTTTGCTTGAAGTTGCGAATGGTGATTTTTGATACTTGAGCAATGCTTCATTAGTTTTAAATAATATTTGTTCTATTTGTTTCTTTCTCATTCTTTCTATTGCTTCGTGTTTTCAAGGGTCTTGATATCTTTTGTGCTCTTCGATATGTAAGCATTGAACTTGGTTGGTTAAGCTTACTATTTCTGGTGCTTCATACTTACTTT